TTCTAGATACATAGAGATTATATTTAGTATAGATAGTATAATCTTCAGCCTCTTTAAAGAGCTGTAGAAATTGGCCTTTAACCTAACCTAGAATTCTGTGCCAACGAGAAACAATTACTCCTGGCAACACCACTCTACTCCCGAGAGAACATTGAGCACCAAAGACACTCCACTGGGAGCTTGTCTTCTTGGCAGAACTGGCCTTTGGGTTAAGAAAAGCCCATACCTCAACTACTGACAAAGATATGAAACAGGATTGTCTTATCTTGCCAAGACAGGGTAGGATAATTCTAAGAAAGTTCCTTACATTTGATAATGGTATGTCAGTTATGTTAGGCCTTAGCCAAAGTTGGTTGACTCAACATTGCGAACGAGAATTTGGGTGATTGCCCAGGTAGTCAGTTGTCTCTGTCATTTGTTACACATTTTAGATATCTCTCATTTGTTAAGTAATATTTATTCCTTCTCAGATCTTTGATGGAGTTAAAGATTATATAATTGTAGTACTCTCTACATTATTTAGACTCCTTGAGATAGGATGTTTAACAAAACTTTTGTTCTCTATAATGTTTGTTATATTATTTGTTATTATTGTTTATAGTTGTTGTAGTTGGTTTAGTTCTGTCTTATTTAGACAAAAGGGGGAGATGTAGGGTTGGGCCAGCCCCTAAGGGGGCGGACTCGCCTCTGGCGAATGTTTACTGATAAATTGCACACGCAGAAGCCTGTGCTTCCCTTCCTGTTTTCCTGTGCTCTGCGGGAACCTTGGTTTCGCGAGTCTGGTTTTTCCATTAAAGTTGTGCAAATATTTATTACAATTTGTCTTCATTAATCTAAGCCACCACACATAATGAACAGCACTATGTTTAGATACCACTTGGAATTTCATCCCGAGCATCTTCAGAGAGATACAGGGTCACCTTAAGAGACTGAGTGACTTCTGACTAGGAATTAATTCTTTAATTGTTAGATTCCCTAAGATAAGGTCAAAAACCCACACAAGAATGTCCCCTGCCACATAATAAAGCATTAGAAATACAAAGAAAGGGGATTAAAAACTGCAAAGGAAAAAGACCAAGTAACATATAAATGCAGATCTATTGAAGAACACCTGATGTCTCAATGCAGACTCTAAAGCCAGAAGAACATGGACAGATGAGATGTCCTGCAGACCCTAAGAGACCAACAGACGCCAGCTCAGACTACTATATCCAGCAAAACTTATAATCACCATAGATGGAAAAAAAGATATTCTATGGCAAAATCAAATCTAAACAACAGAAGCTACTAGAAGAAAAACTCCAACGCAAGGAGGTTAACTACACTCAAGAAAACATAGGAAATAATTTCACACCAGCAAAACACACACACACACACACACACACACACACACACGCCACCACCACCACCACCACCAAAATAATAGGAATTGACAATCATTGGTCACTAACATCTCTCAACACCAATGGACTCAATTCTCCAATGAAAAAATACAGGCTAACAGAATGGATGTAAGAACCAGGGCCATCATTCTGCTGCTGCATACAAGAAATACACCTGGCTGGATAGTGGTGGCTCATTCCTTTAATCCCAGCACTCTGGAGGCAGAGGCAAGCGGATCTCTGTGAGTTCAAGGCCAGTCTGGTCTACAAGAGCTAATTCCAGGACAGGCTCCAAAACCACAGAGAACCATTACCTCAGAGTAAAGAGAGTAAAGAAGATTTTTCAAGCAAATGGACCCGAGAAGCAAGCTGGTATAGCCACTTCTAACATCTAACAAAATAGACTTCAAATCAAAATTAATCAAAAGATATAGAGAAGGATATTTCATATTCATCACAGGAAAAATCCACCAAAATAATGTTTCAATTCTGAATGAACATCTATTCCCCAAATGCAAAAGTAACTATTTGTAAAAGAAACATTAAAGCTTAAATCACACTTTGAAACTCACACAAAATTTGGGAGACTTCAATACCCCACTCTCACCAATGCACAGGTTATCCAGACAAAACAAATAATGGTGCTAACAGGCATTCTGACTCAAATGGAACTAATATCTACAGATTATCTCAACCAAACAGAAGAATATACCTTCTTCTCAGCATCTCATGGAACTTTCTCCAAAAAAAATCTATGCGATGATTCTTAACGCTATTCTGCTATACTCATAGACTGGTGCCCTAGCCCAACAGTCACCAGAGAGGCTTCACCCAGCAACTGATGGACACAGAGGCAGAGCCACAGCCACACATCAGGCTGAGCTTGGAGAATCTTGCAGACAAGGAGGAGGAAGGATTGTAGGAGCCAGAGAGGTCAAGGACATCACAAGAAAACCTACAGAATGCACTAACCTGGGCTCACAGACACTGAACCAACAACCAGGGAGCCTGTATGGGACTGAGCTAGGCCTGCTGCCTATATGTGAGAGTTGTATAGCTTGATTTCTTTTTCAGACTCTTCTAAGAGTGGGAGCAGGGGCTATCTCTGATTCTGCTGTCTATTTTTAGAACCCTTTTCTCCTACTGGGTTGTCTCTTCCAGCCTTAATAGGAGAGAATGTGCCTAGTCTCCCTGCAGCTTGCTATGCTGTGGCTGATTGCTTCTGATTTCCATGGGAAGCTTGCCCTTTCCTGAAGAAAATGGGAGGAGGGGTAGATGGGGGTCAGGAGAGGAGAATAGGAGGAAAGGAGGGAGGAGAAACTGCAAACAGAATTAAAAAAAATACAGCCTTATATTATGTCATAATAACACTTGATATATTTTGGTCTATAATTTTTTTAAAAAATTTAAGGACTCTGGGCTAAAAATCATTTTAGCAACTTTCCCCCCGACTTTAAGCAACATTAGGAAACATTCTGCATTAAGTTAATTACCTTTATGTCCTTTATTTTCTGCTTTTCAAAATTGTCAATAGTTTCCTCCAAATGTCGACTTGTTCGGGTAGCATCAATTGTGGCTCTCTGTAATTCGGTTTCCGCCTAAAGAGTGAGTCCCCCGAAAAGGAAAGATTTGGATCAGGATCCATGGAGCTGAATCCTTTAGTGAAAGTTACCATTCAGCGCCGGTCTTTCCTGGCCTCACAGTAACTGCCCACACTTACCTTACCACTGACAGACAAGGGAAGGCCTCTATTAGACAGCGTGCACAATGCACAACTTCAAGTTTGTTAAATGACCTTCAATCCCCAAACAAAAATGCTGTCTCTTTTCCGTGTCCTGCCGCGGTCCCATCTCAGTCTGTGCCATTGCCCACACTGTCCTTCGTCACACTGTTCCTCTCTCCTCACCCTCCGCCCCAAAGACAAGACCTGTAATCTGCTGGTATTTCCATGCCCACCCGCCCGTTGTATTCTCTGTACAATAAAGATTATCCATAAGACTATTTTCTAGATTGAGTGAACTAAATAAATCTTTGTGAAGGCCAAAATTTGCCTGCCTCTGCCTCCTGAGTGCGCCACCACCACATGGCTGAGACTCAAGTCTCTTATCACTATTTACTTTTACGAGTTCCCCAAATGCATTAGAGTCTCCCTGTATAGCCTGGGCGGTCCTAGGATTCTCTGATCGTGAACTCATGTTCTCCTGCCTCTGCCTCTTGGCTGCTGTGCTTACAGGTATATGTCACCATATCTCTATCTGTATAGTCATGGTCTGGGTTGGCTGTAAGCTTACTATCTGGTAGAAAATAACCTTAAACTTCTGATCCTTTTTACCTTCCAAGAGATGGGATTACAGGCATGTACCATCAAGCTCAGCTTAATCAGATCAATCAGATTCTTACGAGCTAACAACAATGCATTGCTTCGGTTTGGTTTATGGTCATTATATACTATGTATAAAGTAACTGATATATTAAATGGCAAGTTTTAATGCATTGCTTTATACATGGAGACATATACCCATACTGTCTAGATCTGTGTTTTAAAACAAATTATTGTGGCCACTATCTGAATACTGCCATTTACGTGTGAACTGCAGCTACAGAGGTTTTGAAAAAACTGTTTCCTAAGTTCTTCTAGCTGCAGATCAAGAATGCAGGGTACTACCAATCATGTCATTTCTCTTTAAGCATCTCTGCCTTTAGGACAAGATGCTCCAACCCATTAAATGTTAAGCAGCGCCAACAATTAAAAAGACATACCTCAAACTTATGATTACATTCTTCCTAATAAAGTTCTGTGCATAATACTAAAGTTATATTTTCTCTAAAGTCATATATAGTTTAATATTAACTGTAGGAAAATTTGGCATTTGTCATCAAAGTTCTGAGATGTAACATTCTGACATTGCTTTCTTTTCAAAGAATATATAAATGAAACAAGTAAAAGGGTTTACTCTCAGGGTCCATTTCTTGACACACCATTTTATTGCCCACCTGCGACTGAGAATTTTCATAAAGGAAAAAAACATTTCAAGAAGAATTGTATATTTTTAAAATAAAATCATATGCCTTTATAGAATTGCTCTACAGCTTTAAGATACTAAGCACTTAATGGTGTATCGATTTGCATCTGTATTTGTTTATATTTACCATATATAGTTTTTAAAAAACAAAGGCTTTCACCTTAATCCTAACTAGTATTAAAACTATTTAAAAATATAAAAAGTATTTAAAAACATTTCTGCACATTCCTGGGCTTTAAAAAAAAAAGAAAATTCAAATGTGAAGTTGAGTCCCTTTGAAGAGCTGCTCTGAAAACAGCTGCTGTCAGTTACTTGGTGTCTGGTCATTTTCTTCTGAGAATACACAGGCTGATTCCTAAGGATTATTGTATATAACATCCAGTTCCTGTGACTTTTTTTGTATGTAACGTACAGTTCTTGTGACTTTTATTTTGTATCTTGTCTTTGCCCTTCTCATTTTCTGATATTTTAGTTTAAAAATTGGGAATCTCTGCAGACTGTTTAAATGAAAGCATGGGGAAGCAGAAGCCATGGCTGGGATCTTTGTGCTCCGGCCTCTAGGAACTGCGATCCCTTTCTAAGTCTGAAATCCTCCTTCTGAGCACAGAACTCACCCAGAGCCAGTCTTTACAAAGAAAAGCCACATCGGTGATAATTATTATATTCACTGAAAACTGCTCAAAATTCTACAGTGGACCAATCTCAAGAAGGAGATGTTAAGATACAATTCCATGGCATTACCAGTGTATCCAGCAGAGTTATTACGGCTTCCGAACTGCTCAGAAATCACCTGCAGCCTTGGGGTGGAGAGGTGGCCCCTAGGACTGTCGTCACCGAAAGGGACTCCACTCACTCACATACTGCACTTGAGCAGGCCTCTGAGCAAACAGCTGAGCTGTGAGGGCCTCCCTGGTAAAAAACACCATGATGCTCTCAACTGGACATTTTTACTGTTACACTGAATACATTTACATGTATACTGACATGTATGTGCTAGTTCCAGGGTGTCAGAATCCTTCAGTCGCTCTGTGTAGTGAGCAAAACAATTCCCCTGTGACTAACTTACATTGTTTCTTTTCTATCTTGTTTTAGGTGTACCATAGGGCTTCCTCCTTCCTCTGCAGCAATGTGAATGGAGCACGTGTACATCAGACGAGTGGGACTTAGCAGTATAATCATTTTTGTGTTAAAGGTCAATATGAATGCTTATGACTCAATCAACAACTATTCAGGATTCTGGATGTTACATCGTCTTCAGAGACTCTCTTCCCTAAGAACAAAACAGACTTGATTCCCGACTTAATTCTTAAACATTGGCGATGCCCTAGTCTCCCTCAGAGTTGTCAGGCATGAACTTGAAGCATTCTCTGGTTTGTCCAGCTTGCTTAAGACAGACTCCAGCTGGAAATCTGAAGCTGCAATAAATGTTCTGCAAATGTTCTTCTGCACCAGACCAACTCAACTCTCTCTGCCTTTTCTTGTTTAAAGTAGAAGGTTGGGCTTATGTACCTTTGGTCCCGAGGGAGACGGACCAGGGAACTAGTGCAGCCCCGAATCACTGCACAGGGGCTCCCTTCAGGAACGGAGGTGTTCTTCAACCTCTAGTGCCCACAGAGAGCCACTCCCTATGTGGTGTCTGGCTAGGCTCGCAGTATCAACCCTGGGCAGGAGAATGGGGAGAGGCAGGAGGGGACGTTAGTGCTGGCAATGTATGTGTTGTTGGTCAGGAATGAGACACATCCTGGTTCAGGAAGTAATTGTTTCCGAGACGCTCCATTTTACAGCAAACACTCCGATTTAGATACTGCAGTATCTTGCTATGACCTTAATTATACTCAAATCTCCTGAAGGTTTGACTGGAAGTTATAGTCATGGCTTCATGTAATTCTTTTTTTTTTTTTTTTTTTAATTTGGTGAAGGCCATTGTGGGACTTTTTCCTTCTTCCTTAAAAGTATGGCAGGCAGAGCACTGAGACATTAGCATTTACTTTTTAATTTACCCTGAAAACACATACATTTCTGAGTGGATTGGGGGACAGCCTATCTGAGAAACAAAAGAACTGGTCAGAAACAAACTGCTTTCAGCCGGCTAGTTCCTCCTGTGGGGTCCCTAAATGGGCAGAGGATTCGCACACTTAGGTCCAGAGGTACAAACTTCCACATACACTTTAGTACTGCATACCTCACAAACTGTTTCTTAGAATTTTACATCAAGATCCAAAGGATACAATTACATGTCGGTCGGATGGGTTTCGCTGGCGCGTCCTTTCTAACTGAGATAACTGCTTGGCTTCTCGATTCCTGGCTGTTAATGTTGCTTTGAGATCATCCTGTAAATAAGCCCTTTTGTTAGTAAAACTTTCTAACTGAAGAATAAAACACTCTTTGCTAAGAATGGAAGACTGTTGCTTGTGTGATCCAGGCACCGTGAGCAGAGTTATTAGTACTGCACAATGTGTGTATGTGTGCACACGAGAGCATGTATCTCCTTACATTTCTTACTGTACAGCGTGTGTGCACACGAGAGCATGTATCTCCTTACATTTCTTACTGTACACCGTGTGTGTGCACACGAGAGCATGCATCTCACTACATTTCTTACTGTACACCGTGTGTGTGCACACGAGAACACATATCTCACTACATGTTCTTACTGTACACCGTGTGTGTGTGTACACGAGAACATGCATCTCACTACATTTCTTACTGTACACCGTGTGTGTGCACACGAGAGCATGCATCATACATTTTCTCAAAGTCAGACGCAATATGAGTAGAAAATCAACCATACAAATACACGACTATCATTTTGGCTGTGGTGATGCTCACAAGACCATATGTAACCATGAAAACCAAACACTGAAAAATAATTTTATTGTGTGCAATTTTACTCCAGTTTGATTTTAAAGCCAGTTTGTCAGATTTTAAGAATACAAGCCTCCTGTTTTAAAACAAAATATATAAACATGCATTCATATATACTGAGAGACTTTCCATAACAGTGGTTTTTACTGCTACGTGGAATATTAGTATACTTAGCAAGTTTGGTAAATGTGCTTTATTAGTTTTAAAGATCTGAAATTTTCTAAAGTATGTAAAAAGAATAACTGCATGTTATTTTTCCTTTGTTATAAAAAAGACAAAAACACTCATACCTCGTGAGACTACCAAATGGATAAGAGAATGGGTTTACTTACCCGTTTCATTTTTACAATTGTTCCATAAGCTTTCAAAGGTTCAACTACTTTGGCTTCAAGCCTTTCAACCTATTGAAAATTATATAAAATATAACTGAAAAGAAACATAGAAATGTCAAAATTTAAATACTGAAATAAAATCTATACTGTTTAATCTGAAATAAATGTTGTAAAGATGAATAATTTTGAAATTTTAAGATGATCCTCTATGGCAATGTTATAAAATTTGCTGACACTCAGAATCTCCACTCAAACATTAGAAACACAGACCACATGGCAACAGCCCCGGACACAGCTCTGGAACACAGCCTGGCAGGAAAGCGTCTGGCACCTCGCAGCTCTCATCCTTGGGCAGCACAGCGTTGATCTTACAGCTGTAGCTTCTGGGCAGTTTTAAGACTTCTGCAGTTTTAGGACAGCTACCATCTTCATGGGTTCAAGCAGATACTACCAGATATTACACAAGTGTCTCCTAATTCTTATAGCTCAAAGTTTCAGAAAAACTAAACCTGAAAGAGACGGTGTTGCTAGGAACGTTTAAAGAAACAACTCTCCAAAGCAGACAGCTCTGGGATTATTGCATTAGCTGCATTTTTAGACCATTTATGACTTATCCAAGCCTAGAACAAGTGGGCTTCGTGCTGCTGAGCTGCACACTGCCCAGTGGATCTCTTTTCACCTTGCAGTAAACACTTTCTCATACTCATTTAGAATTTTATCAAAGAACAACAAGAAGCAATTCTCTTACCCACACTAGGAAAAGGAACCGAAGCAGTGTCTTTTCACAGATACAAACACAAGAAAACGGTGGGGAACTGCAACTCTGGGAGGGCAGGCAAGCGGATGACATCTAGTTCTTCAAAGGGGCACTTTCCCAGCAATATACCGCTTTTCAAAATGATACACGTCTACCTAGTCAATGCCTTCCCCTTGCATACCTAATCAATGAAGCTTCATTTCATATTTACACTTTAGTTTCTGGAAATGATGTTATATGGCTGTTTCATTTTACAAGAGTTTAGGGAAATGTAAAACTTAGGTTCCCACCAATCATTTAAATATTCAGAATTCTAAAATCTGATTACGAATGTCCAGGACAGCTTACCCCACATCTAATGCCCTACACCGTGGGGATCATCCGCGCCTGCTCTAACAGCTTCCAGGTCTTTCCCTTGCCTACCTGTGTCATGGCCATTAGCACCTCCACCATTGGGCCAGCAGTGAAACAGAGCAGAGCGAATGCAAATCAGTTCACTTTGCTAGTTCATAAGTAGAATAAAATCTTTCTAGGAAGGGGAAATAACTGGCGAAATAGGGCTTTGGGATTATCTGTGCATAAAAACACCAAGTCTCCACTACCATGTATAATTCAGTATTGCTTGTTATTGAAGAAGTGTAAGCCAAGAACACAACATTTTCCTTACAGTATCCAGAAGCGATTAGTACTCAAATTGTGTATGCATAATGATGATACGTTCAAAAATTTGGGGTAACTGAAAATTTGTTTTAGGTATGAAAAAGAACAACGGCACTTGTCACAAAAGTAAAAAGGCCATGGGAGTTTGAACGTGGCGGCTTTTGTAAGTGAACTAGTATTCAAAGAAGCACGTGAAGGTGCCTATGCAGTACCCAAGGCAGGACAAGTACTGGGGGTTGTTGCTGTTGTTTGTTCTTTTAAGAAAGAATCCACAAGAGAAGACTCTGCTTACTCCGAGCCACCACACAACTTAGATCCTACCCCTTTTCCGAATACTTGCGCCCTGCAACCAAAGTTGCCAAATATTCGAATTGGGAAATTCAAGACTTCCATCACACCTAAAGTTTGGTTTGAAAGGCTCCCTAGAGTGGACTCACGGTCTTACAGACAGGAAACGCATTATCAAGTGTTAATTTACCGCTGTAAAGATACGGCACAGAGAAAAAGTGTCCACGATTCCTACACATTACTTCCTGGACTTTTATCATAATGACACCGTGACTGCATTTCATACCTCGGCTTGGCGGTAATCTTGAAGTTTGGCAAACTCATCGGCAAAGTTTTTCAGACCCTGCTTTAAATTGGGGGTCTCGGTAGAGGCATACAGGTTGATTTCATTCACCAGCAGGTCGGCTTTGTCTCGCAGCCTGGCAGTTTTCCGTACATAAGCAGCAAAGATTTGGCAAAGCTCTCCAAAATGCTTCTCCACGTTTGTGACAGCATCCTGCAGCTGTTTGGTCTGAGCATCTCTAGAAAAAGGAAATGCTGCTCTTAAAACATTAAGAAGGTGTCCCGTTCATTTTATTTGCAGCCTCCCCAACTCTCCCGGAGGCCCGGCCCTTCTCTAGGACCCGACTCGGGGTCTGGTCCTGCCTTGGCCCGCGCAGGCCCGGGATTAGGCCCTGGCTGGGCCCGCCGTGAAGGGGCGGCAGCTGCGAGCCTTGGCCCGGGCCCAGCGGCCTCCTGGGCTCTGCACCTCGGCGGCGCCCGGCCCAGCCCAGCGGGATGGTCGGTCTGGAGACTCTCTCGGCCCTGCTCTCGCTGCAGCCCGGAGGACCGGGTGCAGACTGCGGGGACCGTGCGGCCTGGGCCGCGCTCCCCTCGCCCGCCCACCCGGCCCTCTCCCTCGGGCGCCTGCAGGACGAGGCCCCGGGCGGTTACCGGTCTTCCAGGTTGCGTCTCAACATCTTGCCTTGCGCCCCTCCGAGGACCCGGGGTGGGAGCCCAACGAGCGCGGCTCCGGGGCGCCAGGGCGCGCGGGAAAGGGAGCCGTCGCCACTTTGACCGGGAGGCGAGAGCGCGCTGTGCGCGCCGCCGCGCCTGCCCGACGTTTCCGTGGCAACGCGGCGCGCGCCCCGGCGGTCAAGAGCAGGGCAAGGGAGACCAGAGGGCATTGGAGGGAGGGACCACTGAGCATCCCCCTTCGGGGCTGCTCTCAGGCCTCCCCGGCCGCTGGAAGCGAAGAAGAAAACCAGCCCACCCGTAACCGGAAGGGGGACGTGAAGCAAAGGTGAACGGGGTCCGCGCTCTGCTTCAGGATGTGAACTTACGCTGTGCTTGTCCCCGTACTTCTCTGCTGAACGTGACAATGTGGGCTTTTAGAGGCCGCCTTTGGAAGAGAGATCTGTATTAGTTAGATTTCTATTGCTGGGATAAGACCATGATGGAAAACAAGTTGGGGAGGAAAGGTGGTTTTTTTTTTTTTTTTTTTTTTTTTTTTGGCTGACACATCCCAAGTCACACACTGTTCATTGAGGAACTCAGGGCCTGAACCTGGAGGCAGAAACTGGAAACAGTGGCCGCAGAGGAACACTGCTTGCTGGCTTGTTCAGTTGCCTTTCTTATATACCCCGGGACCTCCTGCGCAGGGGTGGCACTGTCCACAGTGCGCTGGGCCCTTCTACCTCCTTCATCGGTCAAGAAAACCGCCATACAAGTTTGCCTACAGGCCCTTTTAACGAGCGCATTTTCTGAATCTAGGTTCTATCTTCTCAGAGAACTCTAGCTTGTGTCAAATTGACAAAAACCCAAAAGCCCAAAGAGTCCTTTCAAACTGCCTCATCTTTAATTTTATTCCCCTCCCCCATACAGCTTCTACTTTATGAAAAAGATTATACTTGACCCAGGGAATACGTCTAAGAAAAGAAGCAAGGGTCCATAGTTTGAGGAGACACGAATAACCCAGAGCTTTTCCTTTAACTTCTGGACACCCATGGCCTTGACTTCGCATGCAAGAATGTGCGTGGGGGGGGGGGAGGGCTGAGAAAGGGAAGGGGAGAGGAGACAGAGAAACTTCTCTTTCGAATGAACTCTGCATCCAAATTCAAGGTTTATGTGCTTCCCTGGGTTTCTCCCATGCTTGGCTAGCACACTCCTGATTTGGTGTTGTTTCCTCGAAACGAAGCGTGATTTTTTTTCTTGTGCTCATCAGTGCCTTCTACAAGTCCGTGAAGGGCACAGATGGCTCTCCTAGCCTTGTGTAAGGTCTGCTTTAAAGTCCCCTCTTCTCCCATGTTGTAACTTCTGTTTCAGAGCCCCTATATTAATACTTCTGTTTTAGAGCCCCCTGCTCTTTCATGGTGTAAATGTCCCCCTTCTCACTTGTATTTATGTATAAGCCAGCTGTCGGATGCCCAGAGTCTCAAAGAAAAGAATCCTAACATAACAGTTAACCAAGAACTACAGTTACTATATTTAGTCCATTTACACTAATCATTCAGGAAATTTGAGACACTATGAGAAGTCCAAACCTAATAATAATAAGAATAGAGAAAGGAGAATAATTCCAACTCAAAGGCCTAGAAAATATTTCAACAAAATCAAAGAAGAAAAATTTCCTAACCTAAAGAAGGAGATACCGATAAAGGTACAAGAAGCATACAGAACAGCAAAGAGTTTGAATGAGAAAATAAAGTCTCCTCAGTACATTATAATCAAAACTCTAAACATACAGTACAAAGAAATAATATTAAAAGATGCAAGGGAAAAGACCAAGTAACATACAAAGGCAGATCTATTAGAATTACACCTGACTTCTCAAAGGAGACTCTAAAAGTCAGAAGGATCTGGACAGATGTCCTGCAGACTCTAAGAGACCACAGATGCCAGCCCAGACTACTATAAACAGTAAACTTCCATTCACCATAGTTGGAAAAAAAAAATAAGATATTCTATGGTAAAGTCAAATTCAAACAATATCTATCTACAAAGTCAGTCTTACACAAGATATTAGAAGGAAAACTCTAACCTAAGGATGTTAACTACACTTATGAAAACATAGGAAATAGACTCACATCAGCAAAATCCAAAAAAGAAAAATGCACATGCTTACACACTCACCTATACACCACCAATAGAAACGGCAACAACAATTATGAAATAACAGGAATCAACAATTATTGGTTATTGATCTCTCCTAATATCAATGGTCTTAATGCCCCAATAAAAGGATTCAGACTAACAGAATGGATGTGGAAATAGGATCTATATCTTCTGCTACATTGAAGAAACACACCTCAACATCAAGAAAAACCGTTACATTCAGATAAAGGATAGGAGAAAGATATTCCATGCAAATGTACTTAAGAAGAAAGCTGGTATGATCATATTAATAGCCAACAGAATAGACTTCAAATCAAAACTAATCAGAAGAAATTAGAAAGGACACTACATACCCATTGTCTTAGGGTTTTCTGTTGTTGTAAAAAGACATCATGACCTCAGCAACACTAATAAGGAAAACATTTAACTGATAGGACTTGCTTATAATTTCAGAGGTTCAGTTCATTATCATTATGTCGGGGAGCATGGTGGCTTATAGGCAAGTGTGATGCTAGAGAAGGCAACAGAAAGTCAACTGAGACACTGATCAGTATCCTAAGTATAGAAAACCTCAAAGCCCACCTCCACAGTGACATAATTCCTCCAACAAGGCCACACCCACTTCAACAAAGCCACACTTCCTAATAGTGCCACTCCCTATGAGATTATGGGGGTCAATTACATTCAAATTACCACATTTCACTCCCTGGCCCTCATAAGTTTTTAATAATATCAAAATGCAAAATGCATTTAGACCGACTTGAAAAGTTACCATTGTTTTTAACAGCCTCAATAATGTTTAAAAGTCCAAAGTAAATCTCTTAACTTTAATCTCCTGTTGAATAAAAATAAAAAGCAAATAACATACTTCTAACATATAATGACACAGGATACACATTATTATTCCAAAACATAGGTAAGAGGGCATAGGAAGAGATACTGGACCAAAAGCAAGAATAAAAGCCATCAGGGCAAACACTAAACTCTGTATCTTCATTTCTGATGTCAATACGCTCTTCAGATCTCCAATTCTATTCAACCTTATTGACGGCAACACACTTCTCTCTCTTGTGCTGTTTCTACTCCGTTAGCAGCTCTCCTTGGCAGGTATCCCATGACTTTGGCATCTCTAATATCTTGGGTTTTCCAAGGCAATTCAGGCTTTAACTTCACAGCTTCCTGCAATGACCTCTCTACTAAGCCTCCATTCAGGGATAGCCTTGACACATGCCTTGTCTCAGCGGCTTTCTCTACATAAGGGAGCAATTTCCATAACAGTTGGGGGAGGCTGCTTGTTAATTTCCCAACCACCCTGACTAAAAATAATCACACAGAAACTATATTATTTAAATCACTGCTTGGCTAATCACTTAAACGTGTTGCTAGCTAGCTCTTATATCTTTGGTTAACCCATTTCTATTAATCTTTGTATCGCCACATGTCTCGTGCATACCGGCAAGGTTCCAGCATGTCTTTCTGTCCCCAGTGGTGGCTACATGGCTTCTCCCTGACTTTGCCTTCTTCTTCTTCCTAGCATTCAATTTAGTTTTCTCTGCCTAGCTCTATTCTGCCCTATCACAGGCCAAAGGAACTTCTTATTCATTAACCAAAAAAAGCAACACTTGTGCAGAAGGACTTCCTACAGCACATAACCTGTTTGTTCTGTCCTTAACTCTGAAGCCAGAACCACATGGCCAAAGCTGCCAAGTTCTGCTGCTTACTTGGCTGGAACATGGCCCCTCATTCAATTACATCTTCATCAGCTTTCTGTCCTCCACTCCCTGAGGTTGGCTGCCCTAAAACTTGCTCTGTAGACCAGTCTGGTCTCAACTAGCCTTTCCTTTTCCAGTGGTGGTATCAAAGGTGTGTACCTGGTTCTAAGGTTTTCTTATTTCCTTTTCATAAGCTGACAACTTTGACAAAGTAAGTCTCAAAAGATATAAGAAAATAGAAATAATACCCAGCATCTATCAGACACCACTGAGTAAAGCTAGATATCAACAAGAACAGAAACAGAAAGTTTCATGGGAACTAAACAACTCTCTACTGAATGAGTAACAGGTCGAGACACAAATAAAGAAATTAAAGATTTTTCTAGAATTCAGTGAAAATAAATATACAGCAGACCAAACTTATGGGATACAACGAAAGCAGTGCTAAGAGGAAAGTACAAAGCACTAAGTGTTTACAGAATAAAGACTGATATAATACCAACAACTTAACAGCACAACTAGTAATTCTAGAACAAAAAGAAATAATCATACCTAAGAAGAATAAATTGTAAGAAATAATCAAACTCAGGGCTGAAAATCAACAAAATAGAAACAACAAAAATAATTTAAAGAATCAATAAAATAAAGATAGGCAAATAAGGAAAGAATAAAATAAGAATCCAAACTAACTACAAGGTGGAGAAATAATATTCAAATAAACAAAATTGGGAATTAAAAGGAGAGAGATAATGACTCAGTGGTTAAGAGCATTGCCTGCTCTTCCAAAAGTTCTGAGTTCAATTCCCAGCAACCACATGGTGGCTCACAACCATCTGTAATGAGATCTGGTGCCCCTTTGAGGAAGAGACCTGTCAGTCATCCCCATCAACTTAGACCATGAAACCCAATAAGGACAAGTTCAACAGAACCACCATATATTGCTTCCCAAGCATGCCTCAGCCAGGGCATAAATTTCATTTTATTCATAACAGACACTGAGGAAATTCAGAGAACCATAAGGACATACTTTAAAAACCTGTACTCCAGGAAATCGGAAAATTTAAAAGACATGGGTAATTTTCTTGATAGGTACCACTTATCAAAATTGAATCAAATTCAGATAAACTATTTAAATAGACCTATAATCCCTAGTGAAATAGAAACAATCATTAAAAGTCTTCTAACCAGAAAAAAAAAAAAACCAACTCCAAAACAAACAAATAAAAAAGCAAAAGTTCAGGGCAAAATGATTTTAGAGCAGAATTCTCTTAGACTTTCAAAGAAGAATTGATGTCAATACTCATTAAATTATTTACAAAATAGAAACAGAAGGAACAGCCCAACCCGTTTTATGAGGTCACAGGTGCCGTGATATGGAAACCACATGAAGACTCAACAAAGAAAGG